TAATTTTAAAGCCTTACCAATAGAATGAAAGCCTATCAACAAAAATTGCATAATTTTAGTTAAATGGCACTGCGATTAAAAATAGCAGTTTTAATGGGTTTCAATGGGGACATTTTTGTCCTTAAGGTCCTCAGAGGAACTATTTTTTGTACCTATTGCAAAACAGATTTATTAAAGGAAATGGAAGTGAAATAGTAAAATTCCAATAAAAATACACACCCTGTGCCAAAATTTATGCAGTTGGCAAAAACACAGGCAAAATGATTAAAAAAAAAAAACTGAAAAGGACAAAAATGTCCAAAAGGTCGCACAAGGGTTAAAGAAAGATCTTTTCCGGATTAATGTTCTCTTTTTGCGCAATATTTTGAATGAACAACGCAGCATCGCCGCATTTAGTGGGTTCAACTGGATAGGCTAACAAAAGCATTAAAAAGCAACGACACTTACACTGTCATTGCATTTCGTGCGCCACTTATACGGCTGCCTGACGCGCACCTAAAATTCGAATGCAACGTTTTTGAATTTGAATGTGGATTTTTATTTTAAATTCGACGAATATTCGAAATTCTAATTTTTTTTGGACAGCCCTATTATGAAACACAGCAGATCAGGAAGTGCATTTACTGCATGCAACTGAAACGTCTCCATTTACCTTGGTAATGTCCATGAGCTCGGAGTCGAGTTGTGTAATGGCTCCCTGCACTGAGGGATGCTGGGAATACTGTCTGCGGAGCGTTTCCTGGATCTGCACCTGAATCCGCACCACCTGGAGGATCACAGCAGCGTTACAGAGCAAACTAATTTAGGTCTGCACGAGTCAGCAAAATAAAACTGAAATTGTGACATGGTTTGGTGCGGTTATCAAATCGCAAAGGCTGCAGTTTCATTACATAAACACATGCGCAGAGCGTTTCAGAGTAAAGCGCGGCACTATGTTCATTTACATGCGAGCAGCTGCTGATCTGATGTTTTCAACACCTCAGAGCCAGTGTTATTCTTACAGTTTTCATTTTAGTTTAGGTAATTTTATGTGCTTTTGTCATTTTTGTTTTATTTTTTATTTCAGTTTTAATAATTAATACCTCAGCTGAAACGTATGGTTAGTTGCAATAACAAAACTTGGTTCTGATTGCGTAATTAAATTTTAATTTAATAATAGAAAAGAAGCTTTAAAATAGGTAACAAAAAACAGTTATGGTTAATCTTTCTCAAAAGTAATAAAATAAATATTATTGATTATTGAATATTATTGACTGTTTAGTTGGTTAATTTTTTTAAAGTAGAAAAAAAAATTTCACAAGAAATTCTTGTAATTTTTATTGTTTTATTTAAATATTTCTATATAGCTTTATTTTTATTGCAGTTTTATTTTTTAGTAATTTTACTACTTCAACAAATTTTACATTTATATTTAAGTTTTTCATTTTTAAGCTTCATCAAATATATATCTTTATAATATTTATCCTTATTTCAAAAAAGATTTTTCATAGTTAAACTGTTGACAACAATGAGTCATTTTATTATTTTTCTTAAATACACATTGTTTTACTTTAGTTAAATATTACAATACCTACAAAAGTAATTTCATATTTTGTTTAATATTTTATATAACAATAATAAAAATTACTTTTAGAATTATTGTAGATACACTGCCGCTCAAAAGTTTGGGATCAGGAGGATTTTTATTGTTTTTTAAAGAAGTTTCTTCTGCTCATCACGGCTGCATTTATTTGATCAAAAATACAGAAAAAACTGTAATATTGTGAAATATTATTGCAATTAAAAAAAAAACTTTTTCTATCTTAATATACTTTAAAATATAATTGATTTCTGTGATCAAAGCTGAATTTTCAGCATCATTACTCCAGTCTTCAGTGTCACACATGATCCTTCATGAACATGAATATGCTGATTCATAATCAATGATTGAAACAGTTGTGCTGCTTAACATGTTTTTGGAATCTGTGATACTTTTGTCAGGATTCTTAGATGAATAAAAAGTTAAAAAGAACAGCATTTATTTAAAATATAAATCTTTATGTAACAATAGAAGTCTTTACTATCACTTTGTATCATTTTAGCACATCCTTGCTGAATAAAAGTATCAATTTCTTTAAAAAAAAAAAAAAAGAAAGAAAAAAATTACTGACCACAAACTTTTGAGCAGTAGTGTATATTGTTACAAAAGATTTATATTTTAAATAAATGCTCTTCTTTTTAACTTTTTATTCATCAAAGAATCCTGAAAAAAAAGTATCACAGGTTCCAAAAAAATATTAAGCAGGACAACTGTTTCAATCATTGATTATGAATTATTAGCATATTAGAATGATTTCTGAAGATCATGTGACACTGAAGACTGGAGTAATGATGCTGAAAATACAGCTTTGATCACAGAAATAAATTACATTTTAAAGTATATTAAGATAGAAAACGTTATTTTAAATTGCAATAATATTTCACAATGTTACTGTTTTTTTCTGTATTTTTGATCAAATAAATGCAGCCTTGGTGAGCAGAAGAAACTTCTTTAAAAAAACTAAAATCCTACTGATCCCAAACTTTTGAGCGGCAGTGTATATATATATATATATATATATTAGGGATATTGATATATAATCGGTCATTTATCATATCTATATAAATGTAATTTTTTTTGGCAAATTGTGCAGCCCTACAAATTACAGCTTTTATCAGAAACATTCACAATTAGATCATGCTAACGGCTCATTCACTGAGTGTCTCAGTACCTCCATCTTTTCCTCCAGTTCATGCAGAAACTCTCCGTCGGCTCCCAGTGAAGAGACACAGGACGAGCTCTTGGCGGAGAGGATGGCTCTGGAGATGTACTCCAGACGCTGCTTCAGAGAGATCTCCGTGCTGCACGCACACAACACCAACACAAACCAATCATTCTCATCTGACACCACCAGATCGAGGCAAATACAACTTAAAGGGCTTCATATCAACATAAAGGAGCGGAAATTTAAATATCTAATTAGGGCCCTATGAAATCCGTTTTATTTGTTGCAAAATTCCGTTTTTTCAGTTTTAAATTTTCTGGATTCCGTTTTTTTTCCCAGTTTAAATTTTTCTGGACTCATTTTTAATGGTTAAATTTAATTTTATTAATTAAAAAGCATGTCTAACATACGTTTCATGATTTTAATTAATAATTTAACATCAGTTTATTAAAAGAATTACAAGTTTAGGGCCCTATGAGATGTCTTATTTTTTCACACCTTATTACCAAATTCAAAAATTATTTGAATGCATAAAAACTATTTGTATTTATTCTAACAATAGCCTTATGAAATTATGTGTTGTTTATTTACGTTTTTCTGGTTATCAAATGAAGGCATAAACCATGAAAATGAAATAAATGAAAATAAATGGGATTTTCTAGTCAAATTAAAACATGGAAGAAATATTGTGCGATTATTCCTTAAAAAATAAAAGTTTAATATATTTTTTTCAACAGTAGTAGTAGCAGTATTACTTAGATTCTACTGATTGATAGTACTATATTTCTGCCACAATATCTTCAAGTTAAACCGACTTTTTACCGACTTAACACAACTTAAATTTTGATGGGTTGCCGTGCATACATAAGACACTAGTTTTACTCAAATTAAACCGTAAAGACGCAGATGATGAACGATTCATATTTAAAATGCTTTTTTGCAGCTTAATATTCACATATACTAGTTCATTTCGCGATTTGATTCAAGTGTAGTGACATACTTTTGATTAATTCATCCAAACCTTAGCAAATTCCGTGACATTTCGCGTTAAACTGTAAATTCCGTTTTTATGACTGAATTCCGTGATTCTGTCCGCATCGCGGAAATCATAGGGCCCTACTAAATGCACAGTTATGAGAAGAGAGATTCTGAACCAATCAGATTTCAGTGGGCGGGGCTAACCAGCATGATACCTGTGCATGTCAGCCAGCCGCGCCAGAACATGCGCCGCTTTGCCAAAGCTTCGGTTCTTCTCGTAGTATCGCCACAGAAGGTCCATGTTTCGCACTTTACTCTGGTCCTGTTTGATCATGTGCATCAGATGATCCTCGAGGTACGGCGAGTTCACCTGGAGCAGAGGAGAAAACGCCCTTAACACTTTGAACAGAGAGACTTCAAGCTATGCTGAGTAACTGTGTATGCGATCATTCGTACCTCCAGGAGTTTGTCAGTGAGATCGGCCTGAATGAGCCAGTTATAGAGAGCGATGTGGAAGAGCTCGTCTTGAGATCTCTGAGCGAGACCCAGCATCTGCTCAAACTGAGGGAAGAACCAGTCCAACAACATCCATAATCAACCAATGCTGTTACTGTTAACTTGAACCAAAACTAAGCTTCTGTTAAGTGAAACTCACCTGGAGCAGAGGAGAAAACGCCCTTAACACTTTGAACAGAGAGACTTCAAGCTATGCTGAGTAACTGTGTATGCGATCATTCGTACCTCCAGGAGTTTGTCAGTGAGATCGGCCTGAATGAGCCAGTTATAGAGAGCGATGTGGAAGAGCTCGTCTTGAGATCTCTGAGCGAGACCCAGCATCTGCTCAAACTGAGGGAAGAACCAGTCCAACAGCATCCATAATCAACCAATGCTGTTACTGTTAACTTGAACCAAAACTAAACTTCTGTTAAGTGAAACTAAAAATATAAATAGAGGAAAAATTTTAACTTAAGCGAACATTAGAAATTTGCCTTGGCAACTACATGAAAACAAATTTAATTTGAAGTAATGACTTTAAAGATAATTACAAATTAATAACAAAACAATGAAAAGATAAATATTGCTGGAAAAACATTAGAAATGTTGCCTTGGAAACTAACCAAAAAAAATAAATAATTAAGTTGAAGTATTAAAATTACTAAAACTAAAATAAATGAATGAATGAATGAGGTACAACTTAAACGACTGAAATGAATGTAAGTTAAAGATAATTAGATTAGAAATATAAAAATATATTTAAAAATATATAAATATTAAAGGAAAAACAAACATTCGAAATATTTCCTTGGAAACTAAATGAAAAATAAAAATAAGTTGAAGTACTAAAATGACTGAAACTGAAATAAACTAAATATTTCATATAATTGAAATAAAAAATAAATAAAAACAAAAATATAAATGTAAGAGGAAACACTTGAAACAAATTTAATTTGAAGTAATGGCTTTACAAAAAAAATGTAAAGATAATTACAAGTTAATAACAAAACAATGAAAACATAAATATTACAGGAAAAACATTAGAAATGTTGCCTTGGAAACTAACCAAAAAATAAATAAAAAATTAAGCTGAAGAATTAAAATGACTAACACTTAAATAAATAAATGAATGAACGAATGAAGTACAACTTAAACCACAAGTTCAAGTACTAAAATGACTAAAAACGAAATATTTAATATAATAGAAATAAAATAAAAAATATATATAAATGTAAGAGGAAAAACTGGAAAACAGGAAAAATGTTGCCTTGGCAACTAACCAAAATTAAATAAATTTAACTAAAAACGAAATATTTAATATAATAGAAATAAAATAAAAAATATATATAAATGTAAGAGGAAAAACTCTTAAACATTAGAAATGTTGCCTTGGCAACTAACCAAAATTAAATAAATGTAATTTGAAGTACTAAAAAGACAAACTACAATAAATAACAACAACAAATACAAAAACAAACTAAGTAGAAACATAAAATAATGAAAAAAAAAAAAGATTAAGAACGTAAACACCAGAAATGTTGGCAACTAACTGAAATAAAGTTGAACTAACTAAACTATCAAAATAAAATATTAAAGGTAATTAGAAATATCAAACAAAAATGACAAGCACATTACTAAGACTTAAACTAAAAACTGAAATGATAAAAATAAAAGCTAATTCAAATCATTAGGAAGTGCCATCAATAACACAGCGTCTAACGGGTTCAAACTGAAGTACATGAGGCTCTAGCAGGTGGTTTGTGACTCACATGAGCGGCAGCGTCCTCGTTGCTCAGCATGTTGGGGTCAGAGGTCATGACGGGGGGTCCGGGTTGTTTAGGGACGCTGGGAGACTGAGGGGCCGCTTTGCTCTGGTTCACCAGCTCCTGCATGGTGTCCGTGATGCATTTATAACAGGAGAGTCTGGACAAAAACAATGTTTACAGCCTGGTTTAAACCTGCAAATCCCACATGAGCACCACAGGATCCTGTAAAAGAAGTATATGTGTGTACTGACCTCTCCTGGAAGGCCTGCTGGCCGCTGGAGTCCTCCTCCGGCTCTCCGTTCCTGTAGAAGTGCAGCCCCAGCTTCTGAGGGTCTTTCTTATCAGCGGCTGTGAGACACAGCTCCACCACTCCCTCATAGAAACGCACTAGATGTGATTAGATTGGATTCAACTTGATTGTCATTGTGCAGAGTACAAGTACAGAGCCAATGAAATGCAGTTAGCAGCTAACCAGAAGTGCAAATAACAAAGTATATAAATAAATAGGTGTATATACATTCAGCTTTATGACATACAGTGCAAGTTATGAGGTAGAAGGGCAGAGACCAGCTCAATGCAAATGACTGTAATTACAAGGAAGTATAAACAGAAGGTGCATTATACAGTGAGGTATGTAAATAGCATATGTGACCCTGCACTACAAAACCAGTCATAAGGGGTCAGCTGGCAGATGCTGTCGTCGCTGCTGTACAGCAGAGGGCAGATGTCTCTCAGGTGAGTGCTGACGGTGTCTACACACGCGCTGTCTTTGATGTACACGTTAATGAGGGCGGTGATGAGAGCGCCACTCAGCTCGCGTCCAGAAACAACCACATCCTTAAAACTCACAGCCTTAATCTGGTCCTGAAACTCCTGACAGAGAAAGAAAACCAATCATTAGGGATTTAACGATATCGGAATCTCACGATACGATGATATCGCAATATGAAGTCCACGGTACGATATTTATTGTGATATTCAAAAAAAAAAAAAAAAAGACAAGTGAAAAAATGAAAATTGTTTACATTTTAAAGTTAAATTATTCTATCTAGTGCACTTTGAGAGTTCAAAATTAAGAGCTGCAACCCTTGTACATAACTAAGAAAACTTAAGTCAGAAAAAGTCAGTGCATTGATTTGTAGCTGAACTTTAAAGTGGACTCAAGCCTCTTTTTATTTGTGGTATACTGTCTCAGTCTAAATTACATCACACTGGTGTTTTAGGAAGCCAAACAAATTAGAATAGAATAATTATAATAATGACAGTAGTAGCCATATGTGTGACCCTGGAGCACAAAAGCAGTCTTAAGTCGCTGGGGTATATTTGTAGCAATATCCAACAATACATTGTATGGGTCAAAATTATAGATTTTTCTTTAATGCCAAAAATCATTAGGATATTAAGTAAAGATCATGTTCCATGAAGATATTTTGTAAATGTCCTACCGTAAATATATCAAAACTTAATTTTTGATTAGTAATATGCATTGCTAAGAACTTCATTTGAACAACTTTAAAGGTGATTTTCTCAATATTTTGATTTTTTTGCACCCTCAGATTCCAGATTTTCAAATAGTTGTATCTCAGCCAAATAATTTCCCTACTGTAGTGTAAAGCAAAAATAACATACCTATAAAAAATTCATTTTCATTTATTTTACAGTGCAGTTGTTTTACAATATGTGACCCTGGAGCACAAAACCAGTCTTAAGTCTCAATTTTTCAAAATTGAGATTTATGCATCATCTGAAAGCTGAATAAATAAGCTATGTTAGGATAGGACTATATTTGGCCGAGATACAACTATTTGAAAATGGATGGGTGCAAAAAAACATCACTACTGTTCATATTCGAGAAAGCACGAGGGGTAACAGAGAGCGATGGGTCGTACTTTGGGCATCTCAGAGATGATGAGGCTGAACTGATGGTCACACAGGAGCTTCCAGAGCGCCAGCGTCTGATAGGAGCGATGAACCAACTGCTGCATGGCCTGAAGAGACGCTTTCTCATACGCTTGAGCCTCCGCTGAGGAGCAAACATGAGAAGATGGTGAACACCTGAGCGCTCACAGATAACACAGAAACACACTGAAACTCACTGTGGTACTTCCTCTGGAGCTCCTGCTGCACTTGCTGAGAGCTGGAACCATCAGGCCGCATGAATCCCAGAAGCCTTTGCTGTAGGTTTGCTGGCGAGCCGAAACTGAGGAGGTCAAGTGAGTTATGGTTAAGCATAGTTATGGTTATGTATTTTCTTTTAAAGTAATAAAACAATTGTTCATAAAATTAAGGAACCAAAAAAATGGAATGAAGTTCAATAATAAAGTACTTCAATATTTTTAGTCTTTAAATAAATAATAATAAAAATAATTTTCACTCCAAAATAAATAAAAACGAAATAAAATAACTAAAGCATTATTGCAAAAATTTTCAAAAATCTGTAATTACTCACAATAAACAAAATAAATGAAAACAAAAAACAGCATTTTTGTAAGAATGCCCCAAAATCTGTCATTACTCATAATAAACAAATAAATAAATAAAATTTTAAAAAACGCACAAATCATTTTCATAAAAATCTGGCATTACTCAAAAAATAAAAACACAAATAATGCTTACAACATTTTTGCAAAAGAAAAAAAATCTGCTACTACTAAAAATAAACAAATAAATAGTCAAAATAATGCATTACTGTAAGATCTACAATTACTCACAAAACAAATAAATACATAAAAACAAAAAGTATTTTTTAAATGCTTCAAAATCTGTGCTTACTAAAAATAAACAAAATAAATAAAGCATTATTGTAAAAAATGCTAAAAAATCTGTAATTACTCACAATAAACAAAATAAATGTTAACAAAAAGCTGCATTTGTGTAAAAATGCCCCAAAATCGGTCATTACTCATAATAAACAAAAAAACAAAATAAATAACGCACAAATCATTTTCATAAAAATCTTGCATTACTCACAATAGTCACAGTCTGCCTGCCTTTGGTAATGGTGGTCTCCATCGAAAGACTCCCATCCCAGATGTTCCTGTTTTAAAGCATCAACAGTAAAAAAAAATGAGTGCAAAGAATCAGCACTTTTATTTTGAATCGATTAATCGTTTTGCACAAGTGTTCAGAAGTCAAACGCCTGTATTTGACCGTAACGCTGACTGACCCCAGTATACGCGTGAAGTAGATACTGATGCCGTTGTGTTTTCCAGAGAAGATGACCTCGGGTCCAGACGACACCATGCCGCTCATGGGAGTCGCTGGGATGTAAGGCGTCGACACGGTCGGCGGGAACATGCCTAATGAGTCAACCACATATTTACACACAACAGCAAAAAACACATTCATAAAACGGCACTTGTGCAACATTCACTTTTTAATATTCAAGCATGAAATAAGACGGGATCTGATCGGATTATTATTATTATTATTATTAATAAAATTATATTCTATATTTAGAATAACATGCAAAATAACAACAAAAAGATGCATTTTGGGCCTGAAATACAGTAGGGGTGTGAATCGTCACTGGTTTCACGATTTGATTCGATATAACGATGCATCACGATTATATCAAATTTATTTTGTGCATTTTTATTAAATTATATAAGCAGGACATTTTTTTTAATAATTACAAATTAATAATAAATCAAAACAATTGTTAAGAAATTAACCAAATAAATATAGCTTCAAAACATACAAGCAAATATAAAGTAATAAAGGCCTAAAAAGACAATTACAAGTGATAAACAAAAAGCACTTTCAGTATTTGAGAGTGCTTGAAGTTTCCGAAAGTTTACAGACAATCATGGGTTTTTCATTTTTTCCTCAGCATTATTGCCGTTTGATTATTACTGAAGAGATCATAGACAGTGGCTGCATTCACACTAATGCACAGATCTGTTTCCACATATCAGATGTTTTGTCCTGTTCTGAAAACATAACTGTGTTTACATCAATTTCATTTCATAAATGTATTCGGAAATGCAAGTGCATTTAACCGCAGCCGTGATCGAGCTTCAGGACAAACAAACACAAAAAGTGAAAGTCTGTCAGTGCGTGAGTTTCGTGCATCTAATACGCATCCATTGCTGAGACACTGATGCAATGCTACATTTCTACAAATATGATGAAGAAACAAACTCATCCTAATCTTGGATGAGCTGAGGGTAAGTAAATGTTCAGCAAATTTGCATTTTCAGATGAATTATTGCTTTAGCCTGTTAACTGTC